TTAAGATCAAGGTGGTTTTTCTAAGCGTATCGCTCAAACCCAGCATTGTGTTTGGTGAAGATAAAGGTAAAATATAAAGGCTATGAAACAGATAATGAAGCTCGCATTTCCAAGAATGAGTCGCATCACCCTGTACAAGAAATTTACATTAAGGTAGATCCTCTTTATTCTTTTGATGTGCCACATGCCGACTGTAATTGATTCTGTGCACTTCCGTCATGCATATTTCCCCGCCGCTGCGGCACATTACACGTAGAAGACATTTCTGGAAGCTCGGAGAATAATGAAGACCAGAGGGTGCATGGATTCTGCATTATCACACAGCTCTGCTGAGGAAGATGCAGCTGTGACAGATAATACCATCTCCATTTCATTGCAATTCATAAAAAATAAATAAATAGTCCTGCATAGCCATACTCTTTACTAGCGGCGTAAACCCAGAACCACCCACTTACACCTGACTGACATGATAAGTGACAGTTTGTGAGTATGCTGCATATGAGTCAATATATATATTCAGAGATTTATTCCTAAATGTCTTATTCAGTGCCAAAAATAGCCCACAACTTCAGTGTGTAAGTTTCTGTATTAAAAAAAACATGGCCATATATGACAAATTCCCAAGAGTCTGTATTATAGGATCGGTAGTACTAGCAACTATTATAAATATGTTTTTGAAAATGCAATAAACAACATTTTAACATTTCAGAACTATTGAACAATTTTAATGTGGTCTCTAATCAGGCAAACCGAGGAAGAACATTTATTAAACCATGTGTGTCTTATGTTACATCCATGACACTGTTTTGTAATTTATTCCTGTGATCAAAGCTGACTTTTCAGCATCATTACTCTGTCTCTAGTCTTCATTGTCACATGATCCTTCAGAAAATATTTTCATAAACCAGGAAACCCTGACACTACATTTCAAAAGTTTACGGTAAGTAAAATTTCAAAAGACATTGATAATGTTACAAAAATGTATATTTCAAATACATATTGTACTTTTGAACTGTCTATTTGAAAGCATTGTATAACATGTTCCACAAAAATGAACAAAAACAATTGTTAATAATTGAGCAGCAAATGATACTGAAAATTCAGCTTTGATCACATGAATAAATGACATTTTACAATATATTCACTGTTCAATTTTAAACTGTAATAATATTTCACAATATTTTTGATCAAATAAACTCAGCCTTATTGGTGAGCAGAAGAGACTTCTTTCAAAAAACATTTACCAATCAAATCTTAATTCAATTGTAAATTAAACATAGATTATTGTCATTAAACATAGTCATTCTTCAATACAATTCAATGTATTACTGACAGTTTCTTTGTAATTATTTGTGTATTTTTTAACAGTTTTTGAGTTTTTTTTTTTTAGAGAGAGAGAGAGAGAGAGAGAGAGAGAGAGAGAGAGAGAGAGAGACCAGTTCTTAAGTTTCAATTCAAAATGAAAGTATTTTGACTAGAGTATAGTAAAGCAATAAGCAGAGACGGACAGTAGTTAAGTATTTTTACTCTGTTGTAAAAGTACTTTTCAGGTGTCTACAAAGTACTACATTTTTAATGTTCTTAAGTATTAAAGGTAAAACAAACAACTACTTTTATTTATGAAATTAAGTGCAGTAAAAAGTATGACATTATGCTTTGGAATGTAGTGAAGTAAAGTTTTCCCAAGAAAAACACTCAAACTACAGAGACTTTTTAAATTTACTTGAGTAAAGTAAAAATACTTCACTACTGTCCGCCTCTGGCAATAAGCCCCAAAAAGCCGTGGTTTACAGTGAATTTATTACAGCTAAGATGCGTTGTTAAAAAAAAAAAAAACCTTAGCTGTTATAAATTCACTGTAAACCATGGCTTCACGGTGCTTATTGCTTTTATAAAACGGTTATTCCATATACATAGTAAGGTTTCACAAAATAAAACGGAGCAAATAAAGTGTAATGATATTAATAAAAATATTATTCATCCAATCAAACAATGTAGTTCCTCAGAAACGGTTGTGGTTGCAACAAAGTGGTTGCCGAGCAACGCACAAAGTAAACAAAGGTGTGCGTTCGTAGAGTAATTTACAACAGCTTCGAACGTGGCTCAGCCAATCAGAATCAAGGACTTGAACTATCCGTTTTATAATTGCAGATCACAAACTACTTAATAACATACATTTCTATCAAAGTGACCAACAGTATATATTTATATTGCCAATATATTTACATGCACACCCCGCAGACATTATATATATATTATATATAATGTGAATCAGAAGTCACACAATTCTGAGCAGAAAGCATACTCTCCCGTCCTGAAAACCTGTATGCTGTATTTGCTCTAATGTGGCCTGCCACTAATGCTCACTCCTGCTGGCAGTGAGAGAATGAACCTTTTGCACAGGGAAGTTTGCCGTAGTTTTGAGTATTTGGTGTATAAGTTGTATGGCATAATTTAGAACTACATGGCATGAATTATGCATAGGCAAAATGCATCCATTTAAAGGGAACATCATATGATGCTGCTAAAAAGAACATTATTTGGTGTATTTGGTGTAATTAAATGTGTTTATGTGGTTTAAGGTTCAAAGAACACATTATTTTACACATACTGTACATTATTGTTTCTCCTCTATGCCCCACCTTTCTGAAACGCGTCGATTTTTACAAAGCTCATCGTTCTGAAAAAACGAGGTGTGCTGAGATTGGCCAGCTATCCAGTGCGTTATGATTGGCCGAATACCACAAGCGTGTGACGGAAATGTTACGCCCCTTAACATACTGGGATGCCTTGTCCCGGCTGGAGCGACGAGACAAAAACATTAAAACCCATTATCGTATGACCCATCATACATAAAATAATTATTTTATGTATGATGACAATTTCTTAGGAACTAGGGTGTATATATATATATATATATATATATATATATATATATATATATA